GGCAGAAAATGGTGTTTGATGGCATTCCTGGGAGGGCAAACCTGGTGCTCAGGGTGGGACATTGATGCAGGAGAGTGCAGACAGTGAGAGCAGGGTGGGGTTCTGGGGTTTGCTTTGGGGCTGGGCTCAGAGCGTTTTCACTGCTGGGAGGGGACAGTTCAGTTGTGTGCTGGTCTCCAGTGCAGGGGACGGTTTTTGGGAAGGACCTTTCAGATCGTGAAGTCCAGCCATCAGCCCAGCACCACCGCAGTGTTCAGCACTAAACTGGGTCCTCAAGAGCCACATCCACTCGTTTTTCACATGCTCCAGGGACAGTGACCCCACCAGTGCCCTGGGCAGCTGTGCCAGGCCTTCACAACCCTTCACAAAGTAAACCCCAAAACACTGAATGCAGGGGAGAAGAGCTGCTGCTGCAGTTAGAAAAGTAACTCATGCGTTTTATGGGTACCTTTTATCTCTTCAAGCTTAATGTTGGCTTAATGCAGTTGATGCCTATCATTTAGAAACCCAGTTTATATCCTCTTTCATAATTATACTTCTCGGTGTTTGGTAATGCTCTTTATACCTTATTTAATCTTTTTGTTTTGTCAGATGGCTGTAACAGTAAGTCCATAAAAGCAAGATGACACCAGACCTTTTGTCATTTGGTTGCACTTTGAAATATTAATTTCTTAACATACAGGAAAATAATGCTTGTGGACAGCAATAAGAAATTTGTTTTGATCTTTGACTTTAAAGTAAAATTATCTGTCACACAACAGGGGTGTAACCTTTTGTGGTATACTCCTGGCAGTAGAGTTGTGCTGCTAATGCAAAGGTAATGTTTTCTTGAACAATGAAACCCCAAAATATAGTAGAAAACATAGCCAGGATATTTATTTAACCTCAGAGAACACGTTTTATGGGAGGGGGTGTTTGTTTCACTGCAGGGATGTGCACTGTATAGCAAAATGCTCTTCTGTTTGCTGGAAAATGCTGCTCAGTGTAATGTCTTACTTCCCCAAGTAATTTCCTTCTGGTGTCGACTGCAGGGTCCTGCACACCCTGAAGCCCTCGTGGTGAGGCACCAGAGCAGGCAGAAGTGCACTCAGCAGCGTGACTGCTGGAGTTAAATCACTCTAACCAGAGGAATTCCCGGGATGCAGGGAGCGGCCGTGGCTCCGAGCCATGGAGGCTCTGTGGGGATCCTGGGGGCTGCTGAGCCATCCCTGGTTACCAGGGATAACCCCAGCACGGGCAGGGACGGGATGGAGAGTGGCATGGGATGGAGGGTGGCACAGGGATGGAGGATGGCATGGCGGATGGAGAGTGGCACAGGGATGGAGGTGGCACAGGGATGGAGAGTGGCACAGGAATGGAGGGTGGCACAGGGATGGAGGGTGGCACGGGGATGGAGAGTGGCACAGGGGGATGGGGGGTGGCACAGGGATGGAGAGTGGCACTGGGGGATGGAGGGTGGCACTGGGGGACAGAGGGTGGCACGGGCTGGTTTGGGGATTAGCGCCTGGAGCAGCCGCAGCTGCCCGGCAGCGCCGGCTCCGTGGGCAGCGAGAGCAGCGTGGGCAGGGGGCACCCCCAGAGCTGCCTGGCACCCCGGGGCTCAGGGACATCCCGGGGCTCCATGGCTCTGCTGCTGGCCTCAGAGGCCTGCCACGTGCTGGGCAGCGTGGCCACCCCAGAGAAGGTGGAGCTGGCACAGATGGGTTTGTATCTGCCTTACCCTCGGTACAGAAACCGCTCCTCCCGCAAGGAGAGCTTTGTGTTAGGAGTGATTCTCGTGGCTGAACTAAATTAGAAACTGCTATGTGGATTCAGGTCTGTATGGCTGTAAAGGGTTATTTTGGGAGGAAGAAAAGTAGACTGGTCTTTCATTATTAAATCCCATTAAACTTCAGGATGTCTGTTGGGATGATTTTAGACTGTCAAGTTTGCATAACTCCGCAAACAGGAGTGAATGTAGTTTTCAGGGGTTTTTAAATTTTAAATTAAAGCTTCAAATATCATAGAATCATGCAGTGGTTTGAGTTGGAAGGGACCTTAAATACTGCCCAGTTCCAACCCCCTGCCATGGGCAGGGATACCTTCCTTATACATTGCATAAGCATAATTTTTTATTTAAACTTTCAGATTAATTTTCTGTGATCTTGTAGCATGAACTGCATTGTGTTCTAGTTTAACTTAATTCATTTTCAGACTTTGAGCAAAAAATGCACAGCTAGACCTTGTGTTAGAAGAATATCTTTTAATGGGGATCATGTCTCGCTTCTCAAATTTTAATCTACGTCTGCATTGAGGAGCTGCTTCATTTACTCTGTATTCCTGGTCTATCTACAGGATTAGATGTTTTTCTGGAACCAGCTTCCCTATTCCTTAGTGAAATCCTTCCTGAACTGCTCTTCTGGAGCTTTATTCTGCCCTGCACTGCTCAATACCTTCCCTGATTCAGATGCTAATGTGTGGTGTCTGGCAAGGGACCGGCATTAGCATACTGAGAATAGATTTGAAAAAGACCTTTTTTATTTGCGTGTTATATTTTATAAATAGCCTGAAGGGGAGGATGGGCTGTTTTGTAAATGGTTTGCAGAGCTGAGATCCAGTGGGCTCGTGATTGCTGTGGCATTTCCATTACCCCAGTCCCTTCTTGAACGTGGAGCCTTTGTTATTAACACCTACACAGCAGGAATGATGCCATGCACTCTCTTACACGTTTACTATTCTTTAAATGTTTGAATCCTCACGGTACTTCCTTGGAATTGGGAAAGGCAAGCAGCAAAGATGGTGCTCCCTGGGGCACTGGACCTACTGCAGGTGGGGTTTGGGAGGTGGGGGCTGAGATATTGGACAGGAACTGGGTTTCTTCCACTTTGTGAAAGAAAGTGTTTTAAAATCTATTCCCTGTACCTGAAGTGTGCCTGAAGCATGAATGTGACTGCACCCATAACGTGATGCAGAAATGTTTAAGCAATTGAAATGGTGAAGAAGGAACTGGATTTCCTTTTGTGGTTTTTGTTTTCCCTCAGTTTTGTTGGCTGCAGTTACCTGACTGTGGCCCATTCTCTGCTTTTCTTGTGTTGCATAAATGTGTTCTTCTCCCTTCTGCCTTTTGCTGGCTGTCCTCAATGGCATCTTAGTGAAACCGGGCTCGGATTTTTTCTCTGACTACTGAGCTGGTGCTAATAGAGAGACTTACTTGAGAATTAGTTCTTTTTGTAAGACTTTCACCAGTCACTGCTAGCCTTAGGTGCAAAGAAGCAGATTTTCTGTGTTGAGTAGCTTGTTGCTAAACCTCTTACTGAGCTAAAGCCCTGCTGGAAGTGATCTCTCTATTGGTGAAATCAAAAGTGCTTGTGGTGTGTGTGTGCCAGGCTGATGGAGCAGGGCAGGTTTGTGTCCCCACACTCACAGGGAGAACCTCACTGCTGTGCTGGGACAAGTCCTGTTTGTCTTGGTAGGAATCCAAGGCAAACCTGATCTAAACTCGGTTCTGCAGGGAAAGGCTGGGTCTGCCAAGAAAAGGCACTCCTGTATGGATGTACACAGGGAGTTTTAAGGACTCTTTTTGCTTCAGTTCATCTTTCTTCTCTCAGGTTCTGAGTTTTCCATCCCTTGTGGTGTAAATGTTTGTCTTCCTGGTACTTTGTGCATCTTCGAATAGATCCAAGTTAATGCTGCCCCAGCCAACATGTGGATGTGGTCTAACATCTCCTTCTGGCTTCATTTATGTCACATTTGTGGTTTATCTCAAAGCCCTTCCAAACTCACCTTCATTCAGAGTGTGCTGATCCAGGGGGTGCCATTATTTATGGATATAATGAAGGACACATTTATTGCACTCACGTGAGGCTTTCAGAAGAGTTTGGTTCTGTTCAGCTCAACCTCAGTCCCCTCCTTCCTCCAAGAAAGAGAACTCAGGAAAAAGACTCCTTCTGATGGGGTTTATTCCCTGTGGGGTTTGCCTTGCCAGCTCTGGTGAGTGAGGGAGCCAGGGGAGGGTACTCCAGTGCCAAGGGCTGTTCAGCCCTGGTTTGCCCAATGTTTAGCTGCTGCTCTGACTGCCTGTGAGTGTGTCAGAGCTGTTGGGAGAATAAATAAATCCCAGCTCTGGCAGAGGAGTGGGAGTGTGGGTTAGTCTTTGCTTTGACACTGAGGAGCACTGGAGAGAGAAGTGCTGGAGAGAGGAGGGGTGATAAGAAATAAAGACAGACCCAGAGAGTTTATTTGGGAGCCAGCCAGAGTGTAAACAAATCACCCAGGGAGATGAATTTGGAGTGATACCAAGTGAGGAGAGGCTGTGAGTGGATAAAACCAGAAGGTAATTTAAGAGCATGGATATATACTGAGATCAAGAGGAAATGTTATCTTGATCCTTGTGTTTGGAAGGCTGCAGGAGGGAGGATGTGAGATGAAATGGAAGAAATGGGATTATTTTAGTCAAAACACAAGGAGGAAAAAAGCCTTATCATTCGGATGGGATGGGTGGATAAAAGGAAATCATCCCAGTGTGTGTTGGAAGGTCGGTGGCAGCAAGGAGAGGGTGTGAATGTGTCTGTGTCATTCTGTGAGCAGCTCTGCCAGTGTCACAGCAAGAGGGACAAACTCCAGGGCTGCTGAGCCCAAAGGGCTGCGGGGTTTGAATGAGGATCTCACCAGTCCAAGTACGTGGAGTGCTGGGGTTTAAAATTACAGCACTGTGTGCAGTAATAGAAAAAATGTAAATAAGATGAGCATGAAACAACTATAAAATGTTTTCCTTCAGCATAGATGAAAGTTTTCTTTGCCTCCTTTGTCGTGAGGGTGTTCAGACAGAGGAGCTGTTCCATTTTCCTGTGTGGAGAAGGTGGCAGTGAAGAAGGAACAGGCTCCTGGCACTGCCCACTTTCTGTCATTGGAGGTTCAGGTCAGAACTGGCGTGTGCCTGGCAGATGTTGGGCAGCCCGTCAGTCATGTCATTAGTGGGTGAGGTGGCTGTTCAGCCGAATTTATTCTGCTCTGCCTCACAGTTGAAAGATGCATGAGTGTGATGCAGTCTGGGACGCAGATGGTGAAGCTGAAGAGTGGAACCAAGGGGCTGGTCCGGCTCTTCTACCTGGACGAGCACAGGACCTGCATCCGATGGAGACCCTCCCGGAAGAGCGAGAAGGCAAAAAGTAAACTCCTCGTATTTCTTCTCATTTCTGGGGCTGTTCAGTATTAGAATGTGACTTACAGAGCTACACAGGGGCTCGTGGGCTGATGGGAGACACTTGGTTTCTGTGTCCTGTAGCCTCAGCCCCGCGATGTTGCGGGCAGTGCGCGGAGCCTCCGGGGCAGCCGGCACGGGGCACAGCCATGGCAGGGAAACCTTCGGTCCGACAGGGCTTTGGGGTGTGAAGATGTGACATTAATAAAGTTTAATGCCTCTGAGCCTGAATAACTCAGAACTGGGAGAAGCAGGAAGAGGCTGGCTGGCTGTCCCAGCGTGGCCTTTGGTTTCCCTTTCCCCCCAGTTGTCATCGACTCCATTTACAAAGTCAGCGAGGGCCGGCAGTCGGAGATCTTCCACCGCCACGCCGAGGGCAGCTTCGACCCCAGCTGCTGCTTCACTATTTACCATGGCAACCACCTGGAGACCCTGGACCTGATCACGTCCAACCCCGAGGAGGCTCGCACCTGGATCACGGGGCTCAAGTACCTGCTGGCCGGGATCAGCGACGAGGACTCGCTCGCCAAGCGCCAGAGAACGCACGACCAGTATCCTTTGAGGGGCCAGGCCTTCCTCCTGGTTCCTAGTCCTGCCTTGGTTTCCAGTCACTTCAGCACAGCGTGGCCTTTCTCCTCCTCTGGAGTGACCAAAACCCTTCCACTGATTGCAGTGGAAACCTGAGCAATGGGTTTGACATGGACACTTACGCGTGTGATAAACCATGGGCTGTGCCTTGGGGACTGGATCAAACTGCTTGGGAGTTAGGGGATAGGCTTGCATTTGTTAATGAATTCCTTTTGGAAGGGGAGAACCAGCTATTTCTAGTTATCTCAATATCTCAGTAAGTCCTGGCCATCTCTGTTGCTTTTGTGTAAGTCAGATGCCTGTGTCCTTTCCAGCCTCCATTGTTTGTCAGGAGCACAAATCCTTAAAGCTCCTTAAATGTTTGTTGTAGCCCAGTAGCCAAAGTGAACCTCATGTTCTCTGAATATTTTCTTCATGTGCCTTTTTTTCCCCAATAGTTTTTTTTCACAACAGTGATGACTAAAATGTTACACACAAAGAACACTCTTCCCCCAGAAACCAAACCCCAAGGCCCTCTTAATTAAAACTGTAACCTGTCTGTTCTTCTGCCTCATGGAAATCTCCAGTGGTACTCCTGGAGAATGTACATATTTCAGGTATTTTTAATTTACATCTCCCGTGTTTGATTCTGATTCACAGCAGGCACAGGTCCACTGGAGTTGTATTGCATGCTCTGTTGCACCTGTCCTCAGCTTGCTATATTTAACCATAGCTTTTCTGAGCTGCTCCTGTCTGCTGTACCTTCTCTCCTGGTGAAACATCACTGCAAGTCCTGTTTGCTTTATCCAGCGTGGCAGCTGGGAGACTGCACACAGAATGGCCCTGTCCCACCCCCAGCTACTGCAAGAACTTAGCAGGAGGTGCTGAGGGATATTTGTGCAAGGAGGGGGTGAAAGGTGATGTTGGGAAGTGAGTGAAGTTCAGGTAGAATGAAGGGATACGTGGAAGAAGATCCCGGAGTAAGCCCAGCAATATTTGAAAACTTTGGAGCACATTCTCAGAGGAGGAACCAGCATCAGAGATGGGAGTGCAGAGGGGCTGGAGTTGTGAACTGAGCTGTGAGTAATTGCCACAAACCAGTTCTGGTTTTAAGCACTGCTGAGCTGCAGTAAGGGCAGGGACAAAAAGGTTCTTTCCTGAGCTGCCCTGGCTCCCTTGTCCGTGGGGAGATGCTGTGTGTGCCTGTCCTTGACACGCTGGCAGCTGGGTGAAGCAGACCTTCGAGGAGGCTGACAAGAACGGGGACGGGCTGCTGAACATCGAGGAGATCCACCAGCTGATGCACAAGCTGAACGTCAGCCTGCCCCGCAGGAAGGTCCGGCAGATGTTCCAGGTCTGTGCCCGGGCACCAGGGGGACACTCAGGTCCACTTCTGGGCACATCCAGAGAAGGCTCTGCAGCCTGGGCACCAGGGGGACACTCAGATCCTCTGCTAGGAACATCCAGAGCAGGCTCTGCAGCCTGGGCACCAGGGGGACACTCAGATCCACCTCTGGGCACATCCAGAGCAGGCTCTGCAGTGTGGGGCACCAGGGGGACACTCAGATCCTCTGCTGGGCCCATCCAGAGCAGGCTCTGCAGTGTGGGGCACCAGGGGGACACTCAGATCCACCTCTGGGCACATCCAGAGCAGGCTCTGCAGCCTGGGCACCAGGGGGACACTCAGATCCACCTCTGGGCACATCCAGAGCAGGCTCTGCAGCTGGGGACCAAAAACGCAGCACCTGAAGGCATTTTCAAAGCCTTACCTTTTTGTAGACAGAGGCATCAGAATGTTGTCTAAAGGACATGAAGCACACTGAAAAGTTACCAGTGTTACTCTTTCTACTGCATTGCTGGTTTCAGCTCTGTGAACTGAACTGTTCAATGCTGGCATTGATGGACAATTTGCTATTCTGTTGCCACTAAAATATTTTTTATATCCCTTATGGAAAATTGTTTAATGGAAACTGGCTTTATGCAAGTAATTAGGTTTTCTTTAACAACTTCCTTATATTTAGCCATTCAGATTTGATTGACTTAGAATCAGTTTTTTACTTCTGTTGTCTGAAAACAGCTCCCATTTTCCACTAGTCCTTGTGTTTACTGCAGGAAAGGAAAGCAAAGATAAGCCAAGGACATAATGGAGAGCAAAAAAAGTCATCTTCACTTTTCTAAACCAGTACCAGCTCAAAGCTGGTTTGCTGTAAAACATGGGAAAGTTGAAGAATCTTCTGTGGCATAAAATCCCCATAAGAGATACATCTTTGGAGTCTGGAGTTACTCCCAAAGACCTGAACTGGTGGGGTGGTGTTGCAGAGATTAATTTGTGTTTTACTCATTCCCACAGATTATAAATGTCATTTAAGGTAGGTAATTGATCTAAAATGATTAAAACCCCCATTCAACAGCATTTAGCTGGGAATCCCTTTCCTCTCAGCTGACTTGCTGTGACAGGAGTTCACAGCTCCTTTTGCATGGAGACCCACACAGTGCCTGCCAGCCGTTCTCCAGAATATATTCTTTGTTTTGAAAATCCAAAGCAATCCTCTTAGGCAGATGTTCACAGGAAAAAGCTTGTATTAGTGTGTGCTAAATACTGTTTTCTTCTCTTCCTACCTCTGAGGAGAAAGAGCAAATCAAGCCTGGAGATGCTGGGTGTGTGTTTTGGTGAGGTCTCAGTGCTGCTGCACAGTTGTCCCCAGAGTGCTGCTGGGGCTGAGAGTGCTGCAGATTAAATAATGTGCATTTAAGGCTCTGATACTGTCCTGAATGTTTTCAGACTGTTGTTGGGGAAGCCTTTGGTGATATTCTTATGACTCTTGCTGTGTTTTAATCCAGGATAACTGCAGGGCATACAGGAGGGCAAGAGATCAGAATAAAGCCCAGGGTGAGCCTCTTTCTTGGGGAAATAAACATGAAATTAAAGAAGGAAATTAGAGTTTTATAGGGAATCTGTGGCTTTAGTTTAGTAACTGTTTTCACCAAAAACCTCAGAGATGATGGTACAATTTTGCAGTTATTTTAGCCTATTAGGATTTGTGTCTGAACAGTCTTGCAGACTGGAATTTACTACATTTCTGTGGTGTACACAAGTCCTGCTCTGTTTTATTCCCTGATTTCTCCTGTGCTGAGCATGTTTACCTGAGTGTCATTCCCTCTTAGGAGGCAGACACTGATGAGAACCAAGGAACCCTGAACTTTGAAGAATTCTCAGTGTTTTACAAGATGATGTCCTTGCGTCGAGATCTCTACCTGCTGCTCCTAAGCTACAGTGACAAGAAGGATCATCTCACTGCTGAGGAGCTGGCCCAGTTCCTGAGGGTGGAACAGAAGGTAGGGCAATATCTGCACCCATGTCTCTGGCCATGCACTTACATTCAAGGGTAGGGAAAGGATTTTATGGAAAATACTAACCTGGGGCAGAGGGCAATGCACAGATGTGACAGAAGAGAGTTCTGAAGGTTTTTTGAAATGTTTCTAGAAAGAGTGTGAGCTGCTTTGGATGGTTTTTGAAGTGCCCAGGACAGCGGTGTGAGAGGGTGCTCAGGGACCTGGAGCGGGAAGAGGAACACGTGGCAGAGGTGGGGGGCTGCCTTTGGGGGGGCATTATGGACCTGCTGACGCAGCAGAAACCTGGAGCTGACTGTCAGTCTGGCTTTCTGCATCCTCTCAGTGCCCTGTGTGCCCTCCTGAGAGCACGGCGGGGGCAGAGCTGTCTGGGGAACCGCTCTGCTCAGCACTGCAGACCTGGGGCTCCTGCAGGTGAACCTCCTGGCTGGGCAGGCTGGAGACACCCTGCAGCCCTGTGCCCCTTCCCAGTGCCCAGAACTGGGAGGTCAGGGAGATTCCCCCAAATGTTCCCAGTGCCACAGCGCCCCGGGGCAGGGCAGCATTGCCCCAAAAGCTGATCGTGCTCCCAGCCAGGAGGCAGCCCCCCAGTGCCCTCACCCAAACAGCATTTTGGTTTTGCTGTTGTCTGGATGCTTGGAAATCTGTGGACAGTCTGTTCTGCTCCATCTGCTCCTCATTTGGCAAGATATGAAATGCTCTGCAGCCTGAGGACAGAACAAAAGCGGGTCGGGGCTTTTATTAGCCTGCTAAACTGGCTTCTTTTTTAGGAGAACTGCCTGTTTAGGAGAACAACCCATATTATTTATAGTGGAGTACTCTGAAGTGTAACAAAAAATGAATGGCCAAAGTCATCATTGCTCAAGCTACAATTAAAAAGCACAAATGTGTTGACTTTTCCCCAGCAGATGCAGCCTTGGACTAGATTAGACATTTCCATTCCTCAAGCACATGAGAGCCCCACACTGGGCCAGCAAGGAGCCATGGGGGATAATGGAAAAGTTAATTTGAGCCAGCTTGTACCAGAACAGGGCCTGCTCTGAGCAGTGTTTGCAATCAAACACCAACCTAAGCAAGGATAATCAGTTATTTTTTCTACTGATATGTTCTTTTTTATTATCCTGTGTAATTCCTGCAGCATCTCAGGATGGTTGGCTTAGCTGGGACAGTACAAACAGTGAACAGGATGAAGGCACAAGAAAGGTGCCAGAGGTTTGAGAGCCAGTATTTTCTTCCTGTGATGTTGGTAGTGGAGAAATGAAATCCACCCAGTCCTCATTCTACCACTCAAGGCAGTGAGGAAAGATTAGATGAGTGATGGGAGCTACTCCTTCCCTTTAGTTCTGAAGGAAATATAAGTGTCTACTTGTAAGTGCCCCACAAATCAGTTAGAACCTCAGCTGTGGGCTAGCTGAAGCTGTTGACAAAATTCCTATTTGTTTCAGAAAAGCTGCTGTTTTTCATTTCAGAATTTAATTATTTCTCTCCTAGCCTGTGTATTACAGTGAACTCCCTTGGAAGTAATGAAATCATAGGAGTGGAAAACACATGAAAATGAAATCCAAGCCTGCCAAATCTTTTTGCATGTCTAAGAAGATTATATTAAAGAATATAATGTCATAGTTCTCATTTCAGCAGTATTGGCCAGTACAACTTTTAAGGCTGCTAAACAGCTAATTTTAATCTTGAGACTAAAATGACAGGTTTTAATTGATGCCTTCCTCTCACTCCTGTTTGTCTCCTCCAAGTAAAGTAGATTTTCACATGCTGGTGATGTTTAAAATGAGTGTACCTCTGCTGTTGTTTTTGTGCAGATGAATAATGTGACCCCAGAATATTGTCTGGACATCATACAGAAGTTTGAAGTGTCAGAAGAAAACAAGAAGCAGAATGTTCTTGGGATTGAAGGTAAAAGTTTTGGTTTCAGAGTGAGTTTCCTCTTGCTATGCTGCAGTGGAAGTGCTTTGATGGTGCTTGGTGAGGCTTTTGCTGTCCCCTGGACCAGCAGCCAGGAGAGTGGGTGCGTTTTGTGAGTCAGGGGGGAGATGTGAGTGGGTGTGGTGAGGCAGCAGCTCTCAGCCATCCATCACAGCCATGCTCAGGAGTGGGGCTGTGGCTGCCTGAGGCTGTGGGGATTTATTGCTCACTCTTACAAAACTGTCCTGTACCACGCAGTTTATCTACAGCCTGCTCCCAGTGAGGTAATGAAAGCCAAGTGTTCATTCTGCCTTGGCTCTGGGGATCTGGGATCCTGCACAATCCATTCTTTTCTGCTTCTGTGAAATAAAGTACACATAGTTGCATTTTCATTGGGTTTTAATACCTGATTCCCATTGCTTGTGAAAGCACTTGTAAATTGTATGTTTATTCAGAATCCAGTTTAGTGTCAGATCAGCCTCAGAGCTGAGATGAAGTAGATTAAAAGCCATGTTGTGTTCCTTTGCCCAGAAGGAAGCTTCAGTGCAGCAGCACAATGTACATGGTGATTTGGGGAGGGGGGAAGTAGGAATTTTCCTCCACATGGTATTTAAATCCTGGGTATGGCCTCCCTTCAACAAGCTTCTGATGTGACCCAGGGCGCTGCACTCAAACTGAAATAAAGAAAGTAAAACAAACAAGCTGTGACACTTAAACAATATTTCTGCAAGCATTTCTGCTCCTCTTAACCTGCTGCTGCAGCTGCTTTTATCTCTGAGCTGCTTTCAGGGCTGGTATTGTTTGCACCATCCTTTGCAAATACTTTGAATGTTTCATTCTTAAAGGAGGTATTTTTAAAACTTTCCCTGTTCAGTGCTGCTCTCATTTAGAGGGTTATAAATGAAGTACCATCTTCTTGAATAAACTTGCAGGGAAAAGAAAATTGGGAAGATGACAGGTCAGTGACTTGGCTGCTGGTCCACGGCGGGGTGGCTGCTGCCTTGAGTGCCCCCATCCATGCTCAGGGCACTGCCATTCACAGCACAGGAGTGCCACCAAGGAGCTCTGTTACAAACAGGCGTTTACTGCTGAGCCAGGGTGGCCTGCACTGTGCCCTGGAGTGCCCAGGGCAGTGCCAGACCCAGCCCTGGCAGGGTGCAGAGTGCTCTCCCTGCCCATGGCCCGCACTGTGCCCTGCAGTGCCCAGGGCAGTGCCAGACCCAGCCCTGGCAGGGTGCAGAGTGTTCTCCCTGCCCTGCCCGACGTGTCCCTGTGCCCTGGAGTGCCCAGGCAGTGCCAGACCCAGCCCTGACAAGGTGCAGAGCGCTCTCCCTGCCCTGCCTGACCCCCAGCTGTGCCCTGGGGTCCCCAGGCAGTGCCAGACCCAGCCCTGGCAGGGCGCAGGGGGCACAGCACTCTCCCTGCCCTGCCCGACGTGTCCCTGTGCCCTGGGGTCCCCAGGCAGTGCCAGACCCAGCCCTGGCAGGGCGCAGGGTGCACAGCATTCTCCCTGCCCTGCCCGACGTGTCCCTGTGCCCGCAGGCTTCACCAGCTTCATGCGCAGCCCGGCGTGCGAGGTGTCCAACCCCCTGCACCGCGAGGTGCACCAGGACATGGAGCAGCCCCTGTGCCACTACTTCATCGCCTCGTCCCACAACACCTACCTGAGCGGGGACCAGCTGCTGTCCCAGTCGCGGGCCGAGATGTACGCGCGCGTGCTGCAGGCCGGCTGCCGCTGCGTCGAAGGTGAGCTGCACGGGGCTGCACGGGGCTGCACGGGGCTGCAGGGGGCTGCACAGGGCTGCACGGGGCTGCACAGGGCTGCACAGAGCTGCACAGGGGCTGCAGGGGGCTGCATGGGGGCTGCACGGGGCTGCACAGGGCTGCAGGGGGCTGCACAGAGCTGCACGGGGCTGCACGGGGGCTGCAGGGGGCTGCAGGGGGCTGCACAGGGCTGCACGGGGCTGCACAGGGCTGCACAGAGCTGCACAGGGGCTGCAGGGGGCTGCATGGGGGCTGCACGGGGGCTGCACGGGGCTGCATGGGGGCTGCACCGGTCACAGGCTCAGGGCCGCGCTCCCAGCAGCGATGCTGGGCTGCCTCAGGCACTGCAGCGCTTTCGGAGCGCCCCAAACTGGATTTTTCTGTTGGGAATGGTCACCTTGGGCAAGCAGGCACCAGAGGATCACAGGATGGCTGGAAGGGGTTCTAAAGATCATCCAGCTCTGAGCCCCAGCCATGGGGGAACGTGGAGATCACACTGGATTCTTGTTTAAGCTCTGCCTGATTTAAATAATAACAAGACATTAGTGGTTTTATATTAGTATTAGTATTTTTCTTTTTCAGAAATAAATAAAGTCTTTTGGCAAAGTTAGACTCAATATTAATTTTTTATGACTAGCGTTATAAAAGGTCATCTGGAAAAAAAAATATTGTTAATCTCTATTTAAAAATTAATTAGAGAAAATGAACCTGAGAAAATTTGGTGATTGCCTTCTGCAGAACAGCCCCCAAGAAAACTCAGCAGTGTTATTTTCCTTGACCTCAAAGCTATTGCAGCTACTTCAGAGCCCAGGGAATAGCTCTGCAGCTTTCTCCTTGGGAAGTTCAACTGCCTGTAGGGGCAGCAGCAGTGACAAGTTTGGTGCAAATTCAGGGTACAGCCATTCATTAGGAAAAGCATTATTATGCTGGTCTATTCTGCATGTGCTGGATTTCATGTTACTCTTCATACAGTGAGTTATAAAACTGCAAGTTAAATTGGGAGTGGGAAAAAATAAATTCTTTTAAAATAGTTTGTCTTCAGAAGTAAAAACTGCATTCCCAAGGTAGCTGTAAACATTATTTGACCTATTACACCTTTGTAGTTTTATATATGAGGAAAAAGCCTCAAATTAATACAAGAGAAAAACCAGTTCCAGGATGCAGAATTCTCATCTGACCTCGGGAAAGACTGTCCTGTTAGTCTGAGCTCAGCTGGCAGGGCGGGGGAGATGGAATGAGAGGTGCCAAGAGGTGACTGAGCCTTGCTGGCCCTGCCTGGCTGAGCAGGTGAGCTCTGCCGCCAGCAGGGGCTGCAATGGATCACACTGGGGGCACCTCTTAATGTGGGGCTCTTCTGGTCTTAACAGTGGATTGCTGGGATGGCCCAGATGGGGAGCCAGTGGTGCACCATGGCTACACCCTGACTTCCAAAATCCTCTTCCGGGACGTGGCAGAAACCATCAATAAATACGCCTTCGTCAAAAACGAGTAAGTGTGGAGCCAGGTTTGAAGGTACACCTGTTTTCTGCAGTTAATCCCACACTGCAAACAACCATCAAGCCCAGGAAGTGCAAATATTCCTTTAAACACATCAGGGTGGATTCTGTTCCCCTGTTTATTGCCTGTGTTGTGTTTATTGTTCAGCTGCACAAGCTCTTCCCATCAATTGAGGGAGAGAGTTCTGCCTAAGTTGCTCCTTTTTGTGCTCTTGAACTCAGTAAGGCTTTGGACAGTCTGACACTGCTGATTATCTTTCAGTAGAACTTCTCACTCACATCCACAGGGAAATTCTCCTGAAAAATCGATACTGTGATCTTCTCTACCTACTGAAAATACTTTATTTCAGCAGAAAAATTGAAAAGCTGTCATGTGTAGTTTGAGGAAATACTGAGGTGTGGGGCAGTGTTCTGAATCTGTTTCATTTGCCATGGTGCTTTATAACAGTTTATTATGAAAACTGTGGACTTCACCCATACACACACACACACACACACACACAGAGTAGTCTCAGATCATGAGTGGGTGTCGAGAATTTTGAGTACTTTAAAGAGTATAAAAGGAAAATACTGCCTTTTATTTATTTAAATAAAAAGCACCCACAATGGATTTGTGGGAAAAAAACCCAACCAAGCCCAGAAGTTCGGTGTTATTTATTGATGAGTAGTACAAGGTGTTACTTTCAAAACTAAAGGAGGTGGTTTTCATTATTTGGTTGGGGTTAATGTGGGGTTCCTTGTTTTAGAACCCGGGGGCTGCCAAGAGTTTAGAAAACAGGGGGGCAAATCTGTGGAAGAGCTCAGCTGTTCATTCCCACGTGGGTGGTAAGAGTGCAGGGTCTCTTCACACACAGCTGTGAGAGTGTCTGGGGCTTTGTTTCCAGGTTTCCAGTGATCCTGTCCATTGAAAACCACTGCAGTATTCAACAGCAAAAGAAGATTGCCCAGTACCTGAAGGAGATATTTGGTGACAAACTGGACTTGTCATCTGTGAGCACTGGAGATCCCAGGCAGCTTCCCAGCCCTCAGGATTTAAAAGGGAAAATCCTAGTGAAGGTAACTTGCTGCTGGGCATGTTCAGAATGCAACAGAGGTCAGCTTGTGATATTTATTGTGGGTTTTCTTTGGAGGACCAGTTCATATCCCTTTAGCATCCAAACATTATCTGACAGTCCTTCCTTGGACAAAGTACTTTGGAGTGATAGAAAAGTGAAGCTTTCCTGCCCTTCCCTCACCCAGCTCAGAGCTGTAGTTCATGGGATGGAACTCTGCTCATGGTTCATCTGCTGTGTTTATGGGAGAAGAGCAGCTCAGGAGGAGCTGGAAGAGGCCCCAGAGCTCTGTGCAGGATTCATTGAGTGAGCCTCTCACTCCAAAAGATTTGCTCTGAAAGGAATTCCAAAAGCCAGAATGGATAGAGCAGGGAAGAAGCACAAGGCAGACCTTTGGGAGGATGATTAAAAGAGTTCTGCCCTATTAGATTGTCTAATTTACTTGGACACGGGGCAATTACTTGTGTGTGAGCTCTCAGGGTACTCTGGCTTTCCCCCTGTCCTTGGTGTCAGTCTGTCTGCAGGGATTCACAGTTTGTCTGATGTTAGTTTGAACGTGCTGCAGTGCACAGTACAGAGCTGACCCTAAATTAGGAGCCCTTTGAGTGCTCAGCCGTGATTTTGCATTTCACTGCATCAGTTTTCTGGGGGGGCTGCTGGTTAATGAGCTGTGCAAACACGTGGGGCTGGTGTTTGAGGGATCCACAGGAAATCATGTGGAACATCACTCCTGTGAGAAATCCCTGCACTAAAGGCACTGCACTAAAGGCAGGAGAGGGTGAGTTCTCTGGCTCTTACCTGAACTCTGAGCTGCCTTTTCAGCACGTGTGAGCCTGTCATTTCAGTGTGATCCTCCAGCTCTCACTGCTGGAGCCCTGTGGGTGCAGACTGCTGTGGAGCTGAGCTGCTTTCAGAATGAGAAATTCTATCTGAAGCATCACAGGATACCTGCACAAAGCCCTGTCTCCCATCCCCTGCTCAATTTAAGCAGCTCTGTTGGAAAAGATAAAATCAGATTCAGGAATCAGTACCTTGTTGAGAAGTAAGCCAGCTTCTCATCTTTTTGCTATTGTTTTTGCTCTTTTTATACATTTTCCTTTGAAAGGCAGTATTGATTCACTAGCCAAACAATTTCAAATAACAGCATAATTTTCATCCTGTAAGTGTATATAAGGAGTCATTCTAGTAACACTCAGGGATTTAAGCCAGTGTAAAGGTACCAGCATGAAGTGAACTTGACCCATTCATTAGCAGCAGCATTATTATTATTTTCAAAATGCAGCGTAAAAATCAATCCTCTGCATTTCTGTAGAAATCTTGAGTGTCATTCCTATCTCCCACTGATGAAGCAGGTATGCTGAGAACATTTCTGTGCACAGGAGCAATATCACAGCAATTTAGTAGGTGATTTATTTAGGAGCAGATGGTAAAGCAAAAGGAGCAGATTGGGTGCACTAACTAACACTGACCACATTTATTGGGGGTGTTTTTTCCTAATTTTAGGGTAAGAAGTTGCCCTGCAGCCTTGGAGCAGATGCTGAGGAAGGAGAGGTTTCAGAAGAGGACAGTGCTGATGAAATTGAGGACGACTGCAAGTTAAAGCCCTGCTTTGTATGTGCACACAGTCAGTTCCCAGAGTGTGACAGCTCTGCATTTCTTACATGCACACTCCATGTCCTACTTACAGTTGTTAGCAGAGTTTTTCATTCCTAAGTTTTTAATTCCTGTGTCAGGCTCATGCTGCTCCATAGGATTCATTTTTACTTTATAAGTGCCTTATGTAAGAGGCTGGTTTGAGTCTGTACAGTCTGGATGACTGTTGACAGAAAACACTGCCTTTTTTCACTGTTTGGAGCAGGACTCTAATGCTTAGGGTGTCTGTAAGTGCATTAGCTGGGAATTCATGCTCTTCTGAAAGAGAAGGGGGGGTTGTGACAGCTGTGAGGCAGAGAGAGCCCATGGCCAGGTCCTGGGGGTCTGCAGGGGGACTGTGAGCTGAGCTGGGAGGACCCAGGGGAAAAGGAGAAGGAAATGGGAGTGAAGCCACAGGTAGAAAGGGCAGAATCAGGCAGGGTTGTGCAAGGAGTCTTTTCTTGCAGAGGGAAGGAAATGGGAGCACTGTGTGACCTCAGTGTGTAATGGGATGGACACAAACTCCCACTTGAACTGGGTTTCCTGGTGTCTTTCAGAGCAATGGTGCAACTCAGCACCAGGTGGAATCTTTCATAAGAACAAAACTGGAGTCTCTGCTAAAAGAATCCCAAATCAGGGACAAAGAGGATCCTGACAGCTTCACTGTGAGAGCCCTGCTGAAGGCAACTCACCAGAGTTTCAGTGTGAACCTGAAGCAGGTACGTGGGCTCTCCCTTCACAGCCCCTGTGAGGACTGCACAGTGCAATGTGCTGCAGATGAGAGAGCCAGGAACTGAGGAACTGGATGCAAACTCCAGGGACATTAATTACAGGGTGAATTTTCTGTGGAGATGTGCCTGCTCTGGAACCAGTGTCACAGAGCTCTTTTCTGGGAGTTGCAGTGTAACTGATGGGCCAGAAAGGGAGCAGTTGGGATATTTTCCTGGTTTTTTTACTGGTCATTTATTTTTCTTTCATTACTGGTCTGCCTTCAATTTTTCCCAAATAATTGCTATTAAAAGAAGTAAAAATCTGCTAAAGATTCTTTCTACATGTTATAGAGACTTCCAGCCTGAGCTCTGAGCAGATCTCTGAACACAGGTTGTTGATTTTGCTGGGCCCCCCGTGCCCTCATGGTCATGAAAGCCCAAAGTGACTCCAGCTCAGCCCTGAACAGGGAATAGCTGGAGTTCACAGAAACACTCGCCCAGCTGAAATGCTGGGGGAATATTCTTCAGTTTTGTTTTGCTCTTCAGAAGATGAAGGGCTGTGTGTTCCTGACAGAAGAAGTGAGATGCTGCCAGGAGTTATCCAGCTGATGTCTGGGGGCATGGCTGGGAATGTGGAACTCAGCCTGCAGGCTGCCTGTGAGAAGTCCACATTTATCTGCTAAGAGATTCTTTTTCCTCTCCCTTTTCCCTTTGTGGCTGCTTTCAAGAACACTCTGATGTCTTGGTTTGTTGTTATTTGCCTGGTTTTGCTAGACTGCTTTTTCTACATGGTTTGTTGTTGTCTTGAGTGCTAATGTTGGTATTTTTCTTTACAGTTAGATGATTCTAAACTATGAAGCGTACAAAGAAATTAGAAAAGTCCTGTTATGAGATTTTGGATTTCAATTTGTTCACAGATCAGACTTTAACTCACTTTGTCTCATTTGCAATAATTTTACTTTCCTAATACTGAGCCAGGATGACATACAATTACTTGTATGAGGTTGAAATGCTGCCTTTTGGAGACTGTAGCAGACTCTTTAAAGACATTTCTGAAGGTATTTAGTTATGCTTTTTTTTGCACTTTTTCTGCACAGAACTTGGACACAAAAGAAGGTGGAAAAAAGTCTCATGGTCGATCGTTAATGGGGAACTTCGGTAAACACAAGGTGAGTGAAATAAATGAGAGCTGAGTTGCTGTTCTAGGACTGGCAGCATTCCAGAGACCCTGGCAATGTTTTACTGCTCCAGACAAGCGTGGTGGGCATGGGGGCAGTGAGGAGGGAGCCTGTGTGATTACACTTGGTGTCTTAATCTGTTCAGAAGATTGAGAACCTTTAAGATGAACAAAAACTTCTCACGTGACTAAAAGATCACCTTTACTCATGCTGTGGAATTGCTGATTTTCTGATCAAATTTGCTGCAGCAGAAGAGCTGCAGAGACAAATATCTCAGCATATCTTGTTTTCCAGAGAGCTGACAGCGCCTGGCTCAGTCTGGGCCCAGTTTTGCTGTGTCCCACCCTGGGCAGGGCCGTGCTGGGACTGTCCCTTCTCCCAGGGGCTGCTGTGGCTGAGTGCTGGCTCTGTGCTCCTGCTCTGTGCAGATGTGTTCTGCCTGATCTCCTCCTGGTTTTCATGTCCTGGTTATGTTTGTGCAGCTGCTGGGCCGGACTGCCTGCTCTGCTGCTCCTCAGGGGTGTTTCCACTGGCCCAGGCAGGAGCTGAGGGCTCTCATTTCCCAGCTGGGCACAGAGCAGCCCCCACAAGGGACAGTGCCCACGTTTCCTCCCGTTCCCATGTCCTGACAAATGCGCTCCTGTCATCTGCATCCCCTACTCCCACACGCCCTGAGCTCAGGTTTACAGCTGAGCCTGAGCTGCTGCAGCTGCCAGCTCCCTTCCTGCAGGAGGCAGTGAGAGCTGAGCAGGGAGGCAGGACCCCAGCCCAGTCAGTCCCTGTGCCCCCAGCCCGCCAGACTGCTGCTCCTGGGCTGTGCTCTCCGTGGTGAGGAGCTTTGGGACTGAGAATCTGAGCAGTTTTTTATCATTAAGAGACATTTCAAAGAACTTAATCAGTCACCAGTCCCTCTGCCCTGAAGCCAGCTAGGAGCCATCAAAAATTCCCTAAGCAGACAGTACCAGGACTCCCATTCACACTTCAATTCCAAGCTGGCATCAGTTAAAGTGCTCGTGTTTCCTTCAGCACCTTTGGCTCAGTTTCCCCCTCAGGGTGGGGTAAGAGCTCCAGGTACCCGTGGTCCCTGAGAGTGGGCACTGCCCGTGGCACCCTGTGCTTGCTGCTGGCCACACACATGCTGGGAATGACATGTCACAGGCAAGCATCAGCCACTGGAATCTGCTGCTTCTGCTGAGGGCTGGAAAGTCTGTCAATAATTTAATTACTGCAGCCAGTTATCCTAATGGATGTAGCAGGTCGGAAAGCCCATTCATTTCATCTCTGGTGAAAAAAATAAGGGTATATATAGTTAAAAAAAAAAAAAAAAAAAGTCATTGTATTGTAGACTGAGGCAACAGAGACATCCTGTAACTGCTCCCTGATGCCTTTCCAGCTGAAGGGATGCCTGGAAAGACTGGTTACTATTGATCTTTTTGCAGATACAGAATTATCCACCCAACAGTATTGACACATGACATTTTCAGCCAGCTCTTGTGCCAAATGAATAAACTCTTTAAAAACTACTGGGGAGGTACAGAGACACTAAAGCTGGCAATTCCTGAAAATCAACTGCATGGAACATGCTCAGTGCAGACCTTCAGCCTCCAAAGAGACCTATGCAAATGATTTCCAATATAGTCAACTGCATGTCAGCACCAAACACAGCAAACTGAATTATGTCCAACAGGGTGTATGACAAGGGGAGGAAAGGAATCTGTGCTCAGTGAGCCAGATGCAAAAGGATAAGGAGCTCTCAGTTATATTAATTACCTCTTGATGGAAGGGGATTAAATAACTCTCATTTGAAGCTGTGTTTAGCATTACAAAAGATGTAATGTTGAAATTGGAAACTGTTAAATCATAGGTGCTTATGAAAAAAGGAGATTTTGAGGTTTTAATCTTTTTTATCATAGCTATTTTCTTTATAGTGTAATAATTTAGAATCACTTGAATATTTGTATGTGGCTCAAAAGAGAGCAGGAAGATGATGTTTGAACATTTTGCCCAGACTCTGTTCACACCTTCACTAATGAATATGTTTAATTTTCTAAACTGGGGGAGGCACAGGTGGGCAGAAGGAGTGCTCTGTATATTTAGACCCTGCTGTGTGTTGCTGTTTGTTAAACAGGACACAATCCACTGGGATTTCAGCAGGAGCATGCCCTGGAGCCAGGGGAGCAGTGTTGTCCTCTGGTGTTGGGAGGGAGCAGGGCAGGTGCAGAGCACAGAGTGGCCTGTGCTGGCCAGACCCTTGGCAGAAATATCCTCTGAGGCTTGGCTGGGCTGGCAGCACACAGAAATATCCCCTGAGGCCTGGCAGCACACAGAAATAATGCTCTGAGAGCCGGCAGCACACAGAGCTGCTCGTGGCCACAGCTGGAATCCCTGCTGCGGGGGGCACTGTGCTCTGGGCAGGGAAACTCTGCCCAGCCCCGGGGGTCCCCTTTGTCCCTGGAGCTGCAAAGCCCAGCTCAGCCTCCTGCCCAGCCCCAGGCTCAGTAAGGGAGCCCAGTGACTGACCCTGCCTGGCTCTTTCCCCACAGAGAGCTGCAAAGGCAGCAGCCAAGGCCCACAGTGCCTCGGACGACGAGGACGGCCAGCAGCACCCTCCGGGCAAGGAGCCAGGGCAGCCCCACAGGTGAGCTGGAGCCCCTCAGGTGAGGCCAGGGCTGTTCTGTGCCATCAGTGTGAGAGGCTGTGCCCAGAGCAGGTGCCGTGTCTGTGTCACGTGTGACGTGTCAGCCACACATGACAGCTGTCAGGTGGGTTTGCTGTGAGCCCGGTGTTTTGGCTGTGTCACCTGTCACAGGCTGCAAGCAGCAATTAACTGCAGAGAAGTGTGGCAGCACCACTGCTCGTGGAAAGATGCCAGGCCCTATTTCACCTGCTGCAAACACAGCAAACTGTGCAGGTTAAAGAAGGTGCATCACAGCCCAGGCAACTTTATTGCATCTGAGAATGGGGAAAAAAGCAATCAAAAAAGTGCCACTGAGAATGTGTCTGCTCTCACTGAAATGCTCCTTGGTATTGTCTAGAACAACCATGGTGCAGCTGTTTCATTATGTTTTAAATGAAAAATTTTGTTTGTGTGGATGGGCTGTGGAGGTAGAGAGGAGCAGTCATCCCAAAACCCTCTCCAAGGAAGTTTGCTACACAGGGTTCCCTGCTCACAATTCTGCATTTCCTTGTTGTTGAAAAGAACAGAAAGGGGCATTGAAATACACCTTCAATCCTTCAAGTGCCTGTTTTTGTTTGCTGTAACCCAGCAGGCTTGCCCGCCGCAGGAAGACAGTGAAGCTGTGCCGGGCCCTGTCTGACCTGGTGGTGTACACCAACTCCGTGGCAGCCCAGGACATCGTGGATGATGGTATGGGGCTGGCACAGGGCTGGCACGTCCCCTGTCACCTGTGAGAGGAGGGGGCTGAGTGCTGCTGTCAGGGTGGCACAGGGCTGGCATGTCCCTTGTCACCCGTGAGAGGAGGGGGCTGAGTGCTGCTGTCAGGGTGGCACAGGGCTGGCATGTCACCTGTGAGAGGAGGGGGCTGAGTGCTGCTGTCAGGGTGGCACAGGGCTGGCATGTAGTGCTGCTGTCAGGGTGGCACAGGGCAAACCCAGAGCCCAGCAGGGCACTCCCTCCCTGGCAGTGACTCCTCTGCCCCTCCTGCCTGCAGAGGATTTTGCTGCAGGCTCCCCAGAGCTGCCACGTCTGGGGGTCTCCAGGAGGAAAGGCCCCAGCAGGAGCTCTTGGGCTTGGGCTGTTTAGCTGGAGCTCTCCCTTGGCTTTCCTTTCAAGTCTGCAGATTTGGGGGGAGAACAACAGACCCTCCTGGAAGAGGGAGCTGGTGCCCTTCAGTTACCCAGGGTGCATGATTTGTGTAAGACAAGACAATCTATTCTGGAACACTGGATTAAATCTCACGTTGCCCTTGATTAATACCCAGGGAATGAGGTCTGGGCTCAGGCCCCGTGCCCTGGGAAGGTTTGTCACCTCCCTCGTGGTTGTACCATGGCTATTCTGGAACACTGGATTAAATCTCACGTTGCCCTTGATTGATACCCAGGGAATGAGGCTCAGGCCCCGTGCCCTGGGATGGTTTGTCACCTCTCTCGTGGTTGTACCATGGCCCACAGGCTCCACAGGGAACGTGCTGTCCTTCAGTGAGACCAGAGCCCACCAGGCAGTGCAGCAGAAGGCCGAGCAGTTCATGCTTTACAACCAGAGGCAGCTGACGCGGGTCTATCCCTCAGCCTACCGGATCGACTCCAGCAACTTCAACCCTGTTCCTTACTGGAATGTGGGCTGCCAGTTAGGTAGGAGCTGCACGACAGACTTCCTTCCCTTTGGGTGTGTATGTGCCTAGCAATATTATCTTTATTAATGACACTCCACTTCTCTCTTTCAGTGGCCCTGAACTACCAGTCTGAGGGACGTGTGATGCAGTTAAATGAAGCAAAATTCAGGGTAAATGGCAACTGTGGCTATGTCCTCAAACCTCAGCAGATGTGCAAAGGTAAGGCTCCAGTCTAGTTATGACTGTAGCTGCCAGGCCTTTCACAAAGTGTCCTTCACAGCAAAGGCACAAGAAAGGAAAGTGCAAACAAATCTAGAATCCTTCATATTTCCATGCACTCGTAGCTCTTAGACTTGTACCAGTGTGCAATCTCTCACTGTGATCATACATATATATGTATATTTTGAGTCTTTGCCTTATTAACATGAGTTTAAAAGAAGAAAAAGGGGTCCTAGGATGACCAGCTGCAGGAAAGTAGAGCAAGCTCTGCAGTGGCCCAGAAGCAAGTATCCAGGGCTTGGTCTAACTCTGACTTGGAATCACAAAACCAAGGGGTTCTCCACTTAGAAAAGATTGTAACTCATAGTTTCTCATTTCTGACTGAATTAGTCTGTCTCTGTGTGTGTTTTGGGGGGTGATATTTATTATGTGTATCTTTTTCCTTACAATCTCATTCTTGCCATCCTTCAGGCACATTCAACCCCTACTCTGCTGATCCACTTCCTGCCAGTCCTAAGAAGCAGCTGATTCTGAAGATCATCAGTGGGCAGCAGCTCCCCAAGCCTCCTGACTCAATGCTGGGGGACAGAGGAGAGGTGAGAAGCTCTGGTGCCAGCAGACACTTCCAGGGGAGCTCCTGCAGTGAAACAGCAGTGTGTGACTCAAACCCTCTCCTTATTCAAATACACCAGTACATTTCAGACACTGTCAAGCATTTGGTCACTACATACTATACTTCCCCCAGCCTGTGTCCTACTCGTGATGTTTAAGAACTGATTTGGTTTGTATTTTAAAGGGTGACTTTAATGAAAATTAGTCACAGCTGTCCATAGCTCTTGATGCAAACCATACATCAATATGGACTTCATGGAACCAATTCCCATGATAATGCTGCTTGAAAATTCATGTCAATCAAAGGGGTTTGAATTCTCACATGAATTTAAATCAACTCTCTCCATTAATTTTTAAAAAGTTCACCTTCATTTAAATGACTGGCTTGCTTTTAAAATCTTGTGTTTTTGAAAAACAGATTATAGATCCCTTTGTTGAGGTGGAGATTATTGGGTTACCTGTTGACTGCTGTAAAGATCAGACCAGGGTGGTGGATGACAATGGTAAGATAATCTATGTGATTTCTTCTTAGAGTAAAATATTAAATAAGTGTAAATTAATTAGTGTCTGTTATTGCTTTCTGAATTGCAAAGCATCTTATCTGATGAAATAAAATGATTGTATTTAACAAATTATTTCTGCTTCCCAGACAGAATTTCTGGTGTGGAGACAAACAAGTTAGAGGTGAAGGGCAAGAGTTGTTCCCCACATTGTCTTTTAACTAAATTGTTCTTAAGTTTCCTTTATGCAGAAGGTCAAATCTATCTGTATCTATCTCAGTGCTTGCCTGGGTATCCCTGCCAGCTCCCAGGCAGACCCATTTTGTTTTTAAAGCAAGCCTAGAGGCAGATCTGTCACATTTAGTGGCTGACATGATGGAAGTGTCATTGCTGCTGCTGCCTGTGTCCTGTTCCTCCTGGACCTGAGGCAAGCACTCTCTCTGGACTTGTTTCCCAGAGTGTGTCCTGTTTGTCCTGCAGGGTTCAATCCTGTGTGGGAGGAGACCCTCACCTTCACCATCCACATGCCCGAAATTGCCCTGGTGCGGTTCCTGGTCTGGGACCACGATCCCATCGGGAGAGACTTTGTGGGGCAGAGAACTGTGGCCTTCAGCAGCCTCGTGCCTGGTGAGTCCCCCTGTTCTTCTGGGCGTGCAAATCCACCCTCAAACCCAAGGAGGTCGTTAGCAGCACGAGATGATAGATTTTATAAATCTTTATCTCTGTGTCTTCATGTGAAGCTTGGACAAATCTTCTGTTCTCTTCGGGTGCTTTATGCACCATTCCTCAAAGGAGTTTGGTTGTCCATGCTTTTGGAAATTATTGCTGGTGAGTTTTTTATAACTTGGATGCAATTTGTACTGGGGCTTGAAAAACCTGTGAGGACACCAGAGAAGTTTTCTAAAGGCACCAGGTGGCTTCCAGTGTATACATCACTTTTATAGACAGTCATTGCTAGCTGGGCATAAAATGCAAACTGCTGGTTCTTGGTGAGTTTGTGTGGAAATATTTCCACTTCTGTTTCCCCAGGCTATCGCCATGTGTATTTAGAAGGACTGACAGAAGCTTCCATATTTGTTCACATAATCATTAATGAGACCTATGGAAAGGTAAGTACAGCTGGAAATTTACATCTTCCTTCTGATAAAAATGGATTTAAATGTAGCTCTTGTCCAGATCCTCTCCCAGCTCCACTTCCTTTCTCCTCCCTGATCCCATCAGAGCACGGGATGGGATCACATGTATTGGTATGTGCACATCTGGGCATATCTGTGAGACCACATCCCTTGGGGACGGTTTGCAGGGGCCTGTTTGGCTGCTGCCCTTGTAAGAACAAATATGCTCAAGAAAACCAGCAGTGTAACTCCAGAGGGGAGGCAAGGGCAGCAGGAGAGGACACCTGCTGGGATTCCATCTCTGTCCCTGGGTCTGTTCCCTTGGTGCTGCTCTGAATGAATGATAGGCTGAGTGAGGAGATCAGCTCAGTTCCTGGGGGACACATATTAAACTAAGAAATAGCTTTAAATGGTTTGCTGTAGAGTGGTTCTGTTTACAGCTGATGTACTGTTACCTTATTTGCTTGTGTGGCAGTCTTGAAAACATTAGCCAAATGGATTTGCATTTCTTTTTGCCTTTCAGTGGAGCCCTTTAATCCTCAATCCCAGTTACACAATAATGCACTTTCTAGGAGCCACAAAGGTAGAGCTCATGAGCATGCACTTTGCACTTGCTGGCCACAGACTTTCCAGTGGTTCCCAATCGCATGATCTGCAACTGCCAAACTGGAACCATTCTCCATGCAGGCTCTGAAACATCTGAATATTGCTTTGATGAAACCCATGCACAGAAAACTCCACGTTAATGGGCAGCCTGTCACTGCCGAGCACTTCCTAGAGCCTTGTCAGGTCCCATTAGGAGACCGAGCAAAGCTCTCTGGTAACTGTGGCAGGCTGCCATCCTAATGAGGAGAAAGGCAGGCATGCATGAATCCATGGAGACCCGTGCTGGGAGCTCCTTGCTCAGAGTAGCTGTGAGTGGCTTGGTGTGAATTTTTGCTTTGCTGCGTTTTGAACTTTGTCGTCATCACTCATAAGCACGGTGAGAGCAGCTCTTTGCCTTGTGAGCGAGCGTGAGCTCAGGCCAGGCTGTGCTGTTCTGTCCCTGCAGAGCGAGCGTGAGCTCAGGCCAGGCTGTGCTGTTCTGTCCCTGCAGAGTGAGTGTGAGCTCAGGCCAGGCTGTGCTGTTCTGTCCCTGCAGAGCGAGCGTGAGCTCAGGCCAGGCTGTGCTGTTCTGTCCCTGCAGAGTGAGTGTGAGCTCAGGCCAGGCTGTGCTGTTCTGTCCCTGCAGAGTGAGTGTGAGCTCAGGCCAGGCTGTGCTGTTCTGTCCCTGCAGAGCAAGCAGCTGATCGGGCTCCGAGGGCTGTTCTCCAAGGCGCCCAAGGCGGGCGCCGCCGAGGCCAGCGGGCACCACGCGCGCAAGCGCTCCATCGGCGAGCGCATCCTGCGGCGCACGGCCAGCGCCCCGGCCAAGGGCAGGAAGAAGAGCAAGATGGGCTTCCTGGAGGCTGCTGAGATTAAGGACAGTGCCTCCGAGCCAACGGACCTGAAGGACAAGGAAGGGGTGGTCCGGCGGCCGAACCGCGCCTTGCAGGCGCGTCCCGCGTCCATGCCCGTGGACAGATTCCTCATGGTAGAGCTGCCCTGCCCAGCAGAGGACACTGCCCAGGAGGCCATGGGAGAGGAAAACACATCTGGTAAGATGCTTCCAAAATTACTTCTGGTGAAAGGTCAGGGCTCCCCTTGCTTCTTCCAAGAGTACCTGATTTCTAGCAATCATTAAAACCAGTATCTATTACACCAAGTTCACTTCTATAGTGCCTGCTTCATTAAATCTCCAAAGGAGTGAGTCACAGAGCTCAGATATGGCACAGAAAGACAAGAGGATTTGTGGAGAAAACATCCAATATGTGTTTTTTGAGGAATTCAAACCCTTGCCCTTGTGAATGCTGCCTGCTGGTAGAAGATCCAAATGAAATCCTTGTACTGTAACACTTTGCAGTAACCACATGTATAAACCAGTCTGGAGTCCATCTACTCGATGCTTTTGACTCAGCTTGAAGCATGCATCTTGTTTTCAAGTGTTGTGTGTTTTAACAGAGCTGTTTTGTTCTGTCTTTATTGCCACGCTTCTTTATAGTACAAATGTGACTAGGAACACAGCTGAAGGTAATGCCACGTGCAAGCCATGATGTGGTACCTCATTAACATTACTTACAACAAATATTACATCACCTGCTTGATGTAATAGACATTCCAAGGAAATTTCAATGAAGTGCCTGCAGTTGTATTTTTCCATTTATTCATGTCACTCAGATAATTTGTACTAAACCTGCACAACCCCATGATTAAGTTCTGTCACAACTGTACCTAGTTTTGCGTTCTCCATTTGTCTGTCTAAGGACAAAACTGCTGTTGATAAACAGAGCCACTAATGTGTTTATTGTATGCCACTAATATGTTTCTCATTTAATTTAGCCAACAGTGCTGACAATACAAATGAGAAGGAAACAAGCTTGAAAGAATTGGGTATTCCATGTTCGGAGCAAAAGTCAAATGCTTCAAATTTAGCATCTCAGTTCAAGAAGGAGAATGACCAGAGGGATTCTACAGCTGACTGTTCAGTACCACCTCCACAGGAGCAACCTGAACATTTGGTTTTTGCAAATGGTGTAGCTCAAGCAAATCACCTTGTGGATTACCAGGAGAATAATCTTTCTGATGAAACTGTCCCCCTAATGCAAGACTCTGACTCTGAACTTCCCACAGAAAAATTACACCACAAAAACTGTGCAGACGGTAAAAAGGAAGATGACACAAAGGGATCTAAGGAAGGGAAGATCAGTCTCATGGGGACTTCTGTTTCTCAGAACGCAGAGGTGGAGAATCACAAATATGACACGAAGAAAAGCACTGCAGCACCTCTTTGCCTTTCTTCTACCTTGTGCTCTGAGGGCCCTGACTGCCACTCCACGGTGGCCCTGCAGGACAGTGACATTTCTCACCTCATTGATGAAGTCTCTCTCTCGACTGAGAGCGAGCTGGACAGCGCTGTGTCCACTCTCATCGGGCAGCTCGATGGCACAGATGACCAAACTCCCCTGCCCGCTGTCTCCAGCCCCCACGGCAGCAGCAGCCAGACCCCCAGGGTGGGGGCTGCAGTCCCACACGTGTTTGCTGCAGACCTGAGCAGCCCCTGCAGGCACAACTTCACTCCCACAAAATCCAACAAATCCTCTTTATTCTCCGCTCCGGACACAGCCATGTTCTCCAGCCTGGAGGATGCAGAGTATTCCACATACACAATTATCCACGAAGCATCTCCAGCTTCTGAATGTAAGAGCCACAGGGCATTAGTTTGCAAGAAAAGATTAAATAGTCTAGAAAGTAACTTGCCTGGCTCTTGCTCTTCATCCCTCTCTTTGCTAAACGCAAATCCCAAAAGGAATTGTGCTACAAAATCTGGACCAAGCTGGGAAGCCCCTGAGGGGCACTCGGACAGCAGCAGCCTGCTGGAGGTGGATGGGGACTGCCAGGACCTGCTGGTAACCGCCTGTGAGTACCGGCGGGAGGACATGAGCCAGCTGGCTTCTCCTGTGAGCCTGAGGCAGAAGCAGGACCACGGGCACGGCGGTGACAGGACCTCCGGGAGCAGCTCGGCCGCTGCGCTCTGTGCTGCTGCCTGGCACTGCTCCGAGAACTCGGGGGCTGCAGGGAGCCAGCTGGCTCTGCCCGCGTGCGAGAACGCCGGGCTGTGGCGGCCGCAGCGCTCGGAGAAGCACAAGGCTGCAGTGCGTGCCCCCCAGGCCAGCTCAGCCTGCCCCCCGCGCCCGGCGGCTCTGCCGTTCCCCCCACACCCGGCCATCCAGCAGAGCAGCCCCTGCAAGTCCAAGAGTCTGGGAGACCTGACCTCGGAGGACATTTCCTGCAACTTTGAGAGTAAGTATCAGTACATCAGCAGGAGCTTCATCTCCTCGGGCCTGAGGGACAGGAAGGCGGCCGCCATGCAGGGCGTGAGGCCGCACTCGACGGACGCGCTGACGGAGCAGCTGCGGCGGCTGCTGTCCCTGGAGCAGGAGGACAGCCGGGAGCCGCTGTGCCCCAGGCAGCCGGACGAGGACTGCCCGCGGGCCCTGGTGAGGAAGCTGTCGTCGCGCAGCCAGAGCCGGGTGCGGAACATCGCCAGCCGCGCCCGGGAGCGGCAGGAGGCGGCGGGCAAGCCCCGGCCGTGCGGCGGCAGCGCCGTGCCCGGCGTGGTGCTGCGGAGCAAGGCGGCGGGGCCGCCGCACGCCGCGAACCGCCACTCCACCGGCTCCTACATCGGCCGCTACCTGCACGGCTGCCCCGGGGAGCGCCGCGGCGTGCCCGAGGGCGCCTGCTCCGCGCTGCCGCACGGCTGCGGGGAGCTGCCGCTGCCGCCCGGCGCCCAGGAGCAGCCCGAGATCTATTTCCTGCTGCGGCTGTAGGCTGGGCCCGGCCCGCGGGCTGCTGCTCCGCAGGGAGGCTGGCAGGAGCTGCCTCGGGCCCTCAGGGTGTTTCTGAACGCAGTTAAAGCCGGCGAGGCAGGGCCGGTTTAACGCGGCCCGTCGTGCCGGAGCTGAGGGAAGCACGGCCCGCCCTCCGTGCCTGGGTGCCGACGGAGCCCGTGTATTTGTAGCATTCCGTGTCTGTAATGCCGTGCTCCGAAGCCTGACGCTGCACTGAAGGCAATACTGCTTTCCTTGTGTCTTGTCCTCCTGCTTGGAAAAACACTTTTGGTGATCACTTTTGGCCTTTTGTGAGGATTCTCCAAAGCACTGTGCTGTCTGGAATGCTGGACCGGGGCTTGTTCTGCCCAACAGGCAGCGACCCTTCATTAGCATCCCTTGTTCTGTATTGTTACTATAAATTTTACATGTGTTCATGTATGAACTGTGATTCTGCAGCAAATGGTTTGTAGAATTAGGGTTAGTCCAGATTTGTGAGTCCTGTGTAGATTTGTCTTCTGCCCTCTCTACAAAGTATGACAACAATTGTCTTCCTTTTTGTTTACCGTGTTCGTTTGGGACGGAGTGGAATGTGGGAGTAATTCTGCTTTTATGAATGAAGACATTTATTTTCTGCTTATTTTGTTATGTATTTTTGCTGTTGGTCGTGTGAGTAGCTTTGGTACAGTAGATCCACTTTCTGTATATTTGTAATTTTATTGCTAAATTGTCAACAGTCAGTGGAATATTTAAACTGACATGGTAGAGTGACTATTTTGACTGTTCACCTTTTTCTATGAAGGCTGAAAGTGAATTGGGTGAAGGAATCTCAGACACCTAAAGCTTCCCTGTAGGGAACAACATAGCTTTATTTTGGTTGGAAGATACTCTTTGCCTTTGCTGTAAGTTTTTCTGATATGTCAAAGACGTACCTTTTACCTCTTTCTTTTGTAATGCAGAGTATTATTATTCTTGAAAATGTCATTAAAATAGATTTTTAAGCACTTGGTTACATGTTTTCTGAAAAAAAAAATCTATCCAGATAGATTGGTGCTGAATCCAGCAGTTAGTGGCTGCACACATCTGTCTTGGCAGGAGGTGCAAGGAGGATCCCTCATTTCACAGGATGGTCCTTGGCTGGAGGTGGCAGCTGAGCTCTGCTGTCCCTTCTGGATCAGGAGCCACATTTCAGTTTGTCTGACTGTTCCACTCAGGCTCTTACACAGGAGTGGTATCACTTGGGAGAGAACAGTGGATTTTCTAAACAAAAAGCATTTTTCCATGGAGGACCAGAACCAGACACTGGATTAATCCCAATTTATTTCTCATGGCCAGGATGCAGTCTGGGAGGTGACTGAGACCTAGCAAAAGTGCCTTGTAAGGAAGCAAATGAGAAGATCTCCGTTGTGGGAAGTGAAAAAACTTGCTTTAATTAGAATTAATTTAGAAAAAATTGTATGGTGCTTGCAGGAGGTCAGGATAGATTATTGCAGCAGTGTTTTATCACATAATCTCTTATACTCTTCTCTTAATTTTCAAAATTAATCCAGATGGGGACAGTTCTTTGTGTGACAGTGACATTTGGCTAATGGAGCAGGGCAGGGTTTCTGTAGTGCAGCTGAAGACAAATACACATCAGCCTTTATATATATATATATATATATATGTAAAATATTTCAAAAACTTGCTTTAATTAGAATTAATTTAGAAAAAATTGTATGGTGCTTGCAGGAGGTCAGGATAGATTATTGCAGCAGTGTTTTATCACATAATCTCTTATACTCTTAATTTTAGAAATTAATCCAGATGGGGACAGTTCTTTGTGTGACAGTGACATTTGGCTAATGGAGCAGGGCAGGGTTTCTGTAGTGCAGCTGAAGACAAATACACATCAGCCTTTATATATATATATATATATATGTAAAATATTTCTTCAGTTTTAGTTTAAACAAACAAGGTTCATTTTCTTTCACGGAGTGGAAGCAATACAAACAAATGTAGCTGCTGCCGTGGGGATGTTCCTGCCACGAAGTGTCCTGGGGTACCTGAACCACCCTCTGCTCCTCCTGTGCCCAGCTGACGTGGGGTTACTGGTGAGCACTGGTGATGCCAGCCCCGAGCTGGTGTGGGACACTGGCTCAGAAATGTTTGTGTCACTGTGAATCGTGGGGGTGACACGCTCTGTGCAGCAACTCCAAAACTCTGTGGAAATGGGACACTTTGGGAAAACTGCAAATGTCTTCCTCTCCAGCTTTGCGCCCTGGATCACGAGCTGAAGGGATGCTGAGGTCAGAAATTTGGCACCTCCAGAGCTCAGCCTTGAAACTCTGGGAACAGCTGGTGTGTGGATCCCAGCAGCACTGTGCAGAGCCAGGGGTTTGAGACATCTGAGTGGGACAGACCAGCAGGCTGCAGTTCAGACATCGAGATGGCCATTCAATTTTATTCCTCTCCCAAAATTAATTAAACTGTCTGAACAAGGCTGCAGCTTGTTGAAAATCCATCTAGTGAAGACTTTTTTGGTGCAGAATCTGCACCAACGCAGAATAAACAATCACTCCAGCCTAGTAAAGGCTAGTGGCTCACATCCTGGGTTAGCAGGCTTAAATTGCTTTGCTAATTCATGACAGAAGGCATAAATTAAGTTGTTCAACAATCTGCAGAGAACAGATGGGTTTGGAATATTACTTTTGAGAAATTATATATTTTCTAATTCAAAGTAAAGAAGAGTGTCCAGTTACATTTATATGATTGTTTACTGGGATATCAACAGGCCCTGCTTTAAACAGTTGTACGGAATGTTCCAGGTGTTGGGAGTCATTCCACATCCCTCACTCCTGCACAGGAGCCCCTGTTCTGACACTTTGGGAGGAGAGCTTTCATCCTGAGTTTCCCATTCGCATCTTAAGTAAGATTAAGGTATGAATAAAAAGTAAGAATAAAACATTTTGTGAAAGAACAGCCAGATTTTCACCCAGGAGCATGTTGAGTCAATTTTGTTCTTGGACTGATGCTCATTTGGATTTGTTTTGATAAGATTTTAATGCTGTTCCTTTTCACAACAGGGAGAATGGTGCAGGACCCTCAGTCACACACGAGACAGTGGCACAGTGATTACACTGATTACTGATCTGCTTAGACATGCAGGAGGAGAAACAAATTGAATTTCTACCAGAGATTATCTTTTAAAGTCCTGTGTTGGTTGAGACGGAAAGAAATTAAAACGAACAGTGCCTGGCTGGCCTAGCTGAGGTGGGATTTTGTGCGTGCAGAAAGCCATGGAAGTGGAAATACCTTCTTTTGCACGTGACTCCAGTGTAGCTGTGGAGCAGCCAGGAGGGTTTGCAGTCGGGGTACAGCTGAGTTACCTGGCCTTGTCTCTGCTCCCAGGGCTGGCCTGGCAGATGGGCACGGCTGTGTTTGTGTCTGAGGGGAGGCATGGACGGGGAGCAGCTGCAGTGCAGTGCTTTGTTAGTCCTTGCTTGGAACAGTTGGGGGTTTAAGGTGAAACCCTCTGCAGCAGAGCCTTGTCCTGTCACTGCTGCAGTCCCAGCAGCTTTGGAGGGTCCAGCTCCAGCCTGAGGAGCTCTGCAGCCTCTCTGCAGGTGGAGCCACGTAGATTTGCTGCTCTGGTTCCATGTGTGTGCATGTGTGCAGTGAAAACACAGGAAAGGGATGCTGAAAAGGGAGTTTGAGGTTCTGAACAGCCTGAATCTCACTGGTTGCTTGGCTGGGCACTTGCAAATAAAGAGAAATCCCATTCTTCCTGGTGGGTGCATTTAAAAGAAATGGGAACTGCCATGTTAGACTTCATAAAGACACAGAAACAGTTCCTTTATAGTCAAACCAGTCAGGTCTTTTCCAAACCCCACTATTCTCTATCTCATCCCAGCACACAGGGAATGCAGCCGTGTACAAAGTGACACCAGGGGTGGCAGCTCTGGTGTCTGACAGCCCAAAACTTTGGGTGTGGGAGAGCCCTGTAGCTGTGAGGGAGGGCTGTGACCTCCTTCCTCGAGGAACCACCGCTCTGGGCCCCTGCTCTGTGCAGTTCCACGAGGAGCAGCGGATCCCTGGGGAAGCTGGGATAAGTGAAACATTGCTGCAGCACCGGGTGGGTTTGCAGTGTCCCCGCAGGACCTGCACGGGGGCACTGAGCTCCCCAGGCCTGGGTGAGGCAGTGATCCCCTGCAGCTCTGCTGCTCTGCTCCCCCCCTGCTCCAGGCATTCCTTGGATGGGTAGCTGAAGTGCTGCTGGGGGCAGACTGCAGCTCCCCAGTGCAGCCAGACAGTATTTATGCAATCCCATTTCAAGGAGTAATAAATAGACTTAAGGAAGCACATTTTTAAGGTAACAGATGTCTGGAAGCAGATGATTAATTTGTGCTGAAATTTCAAGCACTCGTTTAACTTACAAGTGCTTTAAAGTGAATTCTTTAATTTAGTGTTTCACATCTTAAACATTTATAGTCAGAATCTTATTTCAGTTAAAGATATGTTTGTCTAAAGTGATACTTTTAAATTCAGTGGAGTTCTGCAAATGAACACTGCTCAGAGAACAGAATATGGAGTGCTGCAAGTCATGTTAATTTGACTTTCTTATTTCCAGGGCTGATAACATTTTTTCAATAACATGAAAATTCAGCTGCATCCCAGAGGATCCTCTTGCAGTGCAGAGTTCAGCAAGATGAGGGAACACAACTGAGTGCTAAATTTGGGTGCTTTAGACAGTTTGAATCCAGTGTAACTGGTGCAGTGGGTGGTTTCCCCAGGTGTGTGCTGCGGTGGGGTTTGTTTCTTGTCTGCTTGTCCAGTCTTGGTCCATCTAAAGCTGTTCCAAAGGCACCAGAGATGGAAGTTTGGTTTAAAGCAATGTGTCAGGCTTTTTGTACTATTTCATGTTTGATTTCCAAACAGAGGTGGTGCTGAGTGAGCAAGATGGTAATTAATAATCTTGTATTTGTTTTGTCTTGGGACTATGATGTTAAATTTTTAGAATGTGCATGGCCTTCTAAGGGTGAGAGTGCATGTGCTGTTTGAATTAATTTAGATAAGCAGAAGTGATATTGGCCTGAACCCCACTTTTCTGCTGTGGCTTAAGCCCCCTGGATGGATTTTGCCTCTGCAGGAGCTGCTCTGGGCTCTGGCTATGTGCACAGGGTGTGGAAGAGGACTGTTCTTAATTGGGTGCTCATTAGCTCTCTAAAGCTAATTGAGAGGTGGAGCTGCAGCATGCAGCTGTGGGAGCACTGGGGCCATGCAGCCCTGGTTGCCGTGGGATCCTTCCCCACCCAAACTGGGAGAGAAAACTGCAGAGGATTTCATCTCTCTCGGCATTTCCCGAAGCCAACGTGTGCTTTCATGAGAGAAACCAAGACTTACCACTCAATGCAGTTTTTAATTCCCCACCCAAACTGGGAGAGAAAACTGCAGAGGATTTCATCTCTCTCGGCATTTCCCGAAGCCAACGTGTGCTTTCATGAGAGAAACCAATCGATGCAGTTTTTAACTGGAAAGCTAAATCCTCAGCAGCTCCTCTGGTCTGTGTTGCAGGCACAGAGCTGAGCCAGCCCTGCAGCAGGAGTGCAGCAGTGAGGGAAAAGGGCTGATGCACACATGTCCAGCAACTGCCCCTTGGATTTGCTGGCAGAAGAGCCCTTGTGCTGACTCAAAGGAGGTGTTTCTCTAGCCAGTAACTCAGGCCCAGCTCTGCTGTAGGTCTGTGCTGGGAGTGGTGCAGAAGGATTCAGTCCAGAGCCAGAGGAAATGGTTCCTCTCTCTGGGATGGTTTTGGCAGCACCTCCTGCTGCACATAACGGAGATGCTGAAAGCTCAGCAGGAGGAATTCACACAGCAGGCCTGTGCTGCTCTGATGGGAGGCTTTAAACAAGGGGTGACTCCATGTGTTTGCTTTGAGGTATAAAATAATCTAAATTAGGCCAAAATTCTGAGTT